TGCTCGTTTTCTTCACACCCCTCAGTTCGTCCGTTAACAATCACTCTCCGTGTTTTTCAGCGGAAGCCGACGGTGGGTGACAAGTTCGCCAGTCGCGCCGGCCAGAAGGGCATCTGCAGCCGACTGCACGCCACTGAGGACTTGCCGTGGACGGAGAGCGGCCTGGTGCCCGACATCATCTTCAACCCGCACGGATTCCCCTCTCGAATGACCATCGGTGAGACGACGGACGGATGCCACCGCATGACTGTTCTGTACTGGCTTAAACATCTGCCATCATGTAAAAGCTTTGAACGGAATTATGTAAGACATATCACCATATAACTCTTTGCATTGTTTTCTCTGTGACTGATTCATCTACAAATGATATCTTTATCAAAATGCGTGGTGTATGTTGAACTAAAGACAAAATGATTAAGCATGCTAAAAAATGTTAATCATGCCGCCTGGACTCGGCTGTTTTGCCCGTATTTTACCGCTATATGCCCTGAACATTGACGCCTCTGTTGTCGGCAGCCATGATGGTGGAGTGCATGGCGGGCAAGGCGGGCGCCGTCAACGGCCACTGTTACGACGCCACGCCGTTCCGATTCAGTGAGGACAGCACGGCAATCGACTACTTCGGCCAGGTCCTGGAGCGAGGTGCGTGCGTTAGGCGGGGTCTGATAATGGTCCGGGATCCTGTGCGACGTTAGGTCCCCGGTGTGGTTTACATTTGCGTGAAATTAATTGGAGTTATATGCACTTGGGATGCAGGTGTGGCTTGCGCCGATTTCGCCTGGTAGATTGGTGTTGTAAAAAGTGAAGTGCGATGAAGGGTTTTGGTGACTTTTGTATCTGAATGTCTGTTAACCTTTTGTCCGGGATATTTTCGTTCAAGTAATAATGGCACCTATCCATTTAAAGAAAGCAGACCTGCTGCGCTGGACGATGCGTAACGCGACACTGGTGACACGTGTTAAAGGTAGTGTGCCAGCTTTCTTGGACCGTATGGAGTTAATGGCCCAGATAAGGAGAACCGGATTTTTAGAACTTATCCATACCTTCAAAACTCATGGAAACGTCTTAAATTCTTCAAATTTTGAGTACCCCAGTGCGAAATTCGCCCCGACGGGTTGTCGGTCGTACCCCAACCACATTTCACACCACTATGAACAATAAATGCACACACTGAAATCGCTATTACCGATATGCTCATCCAATCAAGTTTCGATAAACCCGTTCATCATCATCTCCTGCGGTTTCGAACACGCCTGTTAGGTGGCTTCTGATGCTCGTCGAGGTCGGAATTTCCAAATACGCGTGGTGCGTCGGGCCGCGCGCTCTGACTTCGGCCAAGAAAAATGCGTCAGCTGATCATTGTCATTTCTGCCACTTGCGTGTGGTGAAATGGGCTCATAACTTATAAGACGGCTTTTTCATATCAATTATTTTACATAAAATCATATTTCAAACCATAAATAATGTTCGACAGCCAAATAAAAGAAACAATACCAATACGGGCTTACAGTTTAAGGCTCGACATTGTGTTGTCTACGATTAGACAGCTGATAACTCATTCCCGTACGTCGTATGGTCGTAACACTATAATGACCTTTGCTTATTGTCACAAGTGCGCCGCATTCGCGATTGTTGCCCGACGCCTGTTTGCAGGTGAGCCCACTACAGTTGTTATACATATCTAAAAACCGAAAAACTTTTAGGCGAAAAAGGCACTATTCCAGGCCCATTTTTGATTTTTTTTGCGATATTAGGTAAAAACAGAAGCTTCTTATCCTAGGAAAAATAAAATGGGAAATCTTTCAAAGGTGGCACACTACCTTTAATGCATGATTGAGTCACAGGCTGCTAGCTCACTAGCCCCTGCATTTCATCTGCCTTGTGTGTGCGTTTTTTCACGTTTTCTCCCCGTCTCCCTCCGTCAGCCGGTTACAACTACTACGGTACGGAGACCATGTACAGCGGCATCACCGGCACCGAACTGGAGGCCAAGATCTTCTTCGGCGTGATCCACTACCAGCGGCTCAGGCACATGGTCTCAGACAAATGGCAGGTGGGTGCTGCGCGTGAGGGCTGTAATGTTACGTAATACGTGTACCCGCACCCTGGGACAGGTGGATCCGGGGCTGAGCAGCTGGTCTGGGTAACCTGGCAGAGTCCTCAATGGTCAGGAGCGGTGGGGGTTAACAGGAGAGGGGGCGGATGACATTGATGACGGGTTCGATTCCGCCCCAGTGCCGGGGTGGAGGGCGCCCGGCACATTTCCGCCCCAGTGCAGACAGAGGGCGCCCGGCAGCCGGGTGGTCACCGGTGACAGTCGCCTCAGGGACGGCCGGTGGGGCTGGGGAAGCATTTTGGAACCGGTATGGGGACTGGGTCAGCTGAGTGGCCAACACGTCTGTGACTCACTGATCGGGATTTGCCTCACACACTGTCACTCTGCCCGGCAGCCACCTAATACAGTTCTGTTCAGCTGAGTAATGTGACAAACACGTATGATTTTATCTACATAATGTCGCTCGTCAGTCTTCGATGTCATTTGTCACCCATGTGACACAGCTATCATAAGCACTTATCTCAAAGCCGTCTTTCGCTTAACTGTTGACCGTTGCTGAAAAACGGACTCTTACATTAGTGTTTACATTTGTGTAACCATCCATTCAGCTGCATGCAAAGGTCTGCTGTTCATTCACCGCTTCCCTTAGCTTTTCATGCTCCAAGATTCGGGTACTTAGCTACCCTGTCGGCCGGTATTCTACATGTGCCCGAACTGTGGCGCTTTTTACTGGCAAACATGGTGGAGCTGCTTCGCTCATGGTCACCAGATATGAGACGGGTTTTTAGCTATGCAATTTGCCCTCTCTGTCTGGCAACATGCGCTATTTGCTGATCCGAAATGCGATTATCAATGAATCAGCATTTAGTTATTTAGTTTGTCGTGTTACGCACTCCAGTGGAACATTGTCTCCAGGCGTGTTTCTTCCGCTTGTTATCTCGCTTGCCTCTCGTGCTATGTACCAATGGATGACGAGCTATCCACACTGGGCACTGAGTGCAGCCCGTTATAATAACTCCCATTCCCCCCTTCCAGGTGAGAAGCACAGGCCCGGTGAACTGCGTCACACGCCAGCCGGTCAAGGGCCGGAAGAAGGGCGGCGGCGTGCGGTTCGGAGAGATGGAGCGGGACGGGGTGATGGCCCACGGCACGACGCTGATCGTGCAGGACCGGCTGTTCAGCTGCTCCGACAAGGCCGAGGTGAGGGACGGGGTCAGGGAGAGGAGGGACTGAGGTCTAGGAGAGGAGGGGCAAGGGTCGTTGAGAGTGGCTAGGAAGAAAGGAAGTAGGTAGGTAGAAAGGCTGGAATAGAAAAGGGGGAGGCTTAGGTAAAGCGTAGACGTGTGTTACGGGCAGGGGAGGGGAGGAAGCAAGGAGTATTGATGTAGGAGGAATGTTTGATGAAAGGGAGCAGAGCTTTTCTACGGCAAGGGGCGAGTGATAGATAAATGCAAAAGATATGTGAAAAATATGGATATATAGACTCCGTAGTGTCGTGTGCCTTGTGTTTGTGCTTGCCTGCGTCCCTATGTGATATATACCACGCCTGACCTCACTCTTACCCCGCTGTCCCTCAGATGCACGTGTGCTCGTCCTGCGGCTCGCTGCTGTCCCCCGTTGTGGAGCTGCAGGCTCAGCGGAGCCGGGGTCCGCGCAGCGGCGGCACCGGCCGGCGGCCCGTCTGTACAGTGTGCGACAGCACCAGGGACGTGGTGACCGTCCACCTGCCCTACATGGTGCTCCACCTGGCCATCCAGCTGGCCGCCATGAACGTCAAACTCAACGTGAAGGTCAAGGAACAGTGAGGGGTGAAGGAGGTCGGAGAAAAGTGTCCGATCCCGGACCGTCAAGCATGGAGCTCAACTGCCAGGAAAAGAAGCGGTGAGGGGCGAAGAGGGTCAGAGAGTGAACGTCACCTCACCTCCAAAACGTCAGCCTGAATGTTCGACAAGAAACAGTTATTTTGTTGAGGGAAGACGAAGAGCGTAACGTCCATGTCCAGGGTCGGTGAGCAGCCGCCGGAAGGGTCGTGCACCGCGGGTCAGGGAAAGAGAGCCGGGGGTGGAGAGTGGCATGCCTTCTGAGCGGTGATCTGTGTGATATCGCCGGCTCGACCGCGGGCGATAACTTGTGATGCTTGATGCGTGTCGCCGTGCTGTGGCAGTCGGTTGATGAGTTAGGAATAGCCGGGTGACCTGAGAGGACCACTGCGGGAGCCTTCTGTCTCAAGTGGAGAGTCCATGGCGCTATAGAATGTCACTCGAGTATTGCTGACGTCATAAGACCACCCTGCGGCGGTGGGTTGACCTCTGGGTGTGTCGGGTCACGCTGCTCGGTGCTTGTTTGTTACGCGAGTTTACCAAATACAAATGGCCACATGAGGCATGTTCTGGTGGACCGTTCAATTAAATTAAATTCCGGTGAAAAGCTGCACCTATGATTTTATTGTGTGTGCATCTTTCCATGGCGTTCGGAAGTGCCTTACGCTGCGATTGGCGAACGACGAGCACGGGATTCTGATTATGGCTGCCATATACATAAACAGCAGCTCCCCACGGGTTCATGAGGTCGCAGACACTTGACAGTTTTTTTTCATATGGGTTGAGAATGACATCTGACTTCACTCTGCGAGAATGATACGGCAAGTGCTGTGAACTCGAACGTGCCCCCAATCTCCTCATCAATTTACGTAGTATCCAGTACCTGTCGAGTGAATGTTCAGCACAGCACAGCTTTCACTGATCATCAGAGTCCCCTTTTGACCAGTTCCGCTTTGATTACCAGTACAACCGTTGAAGTGATTCCATTATTGAGTTCAAGGAGTGATTCCCTCTCTCTGTCGTTCTCTTCAAATAAGTGTGACGTCATAAGATCTGACTGTTTTAGAATTATCTTTAATTTTCTTAGGGCACACCTTGAATGTAAACAAATAATCGCGGGCCAACTCCCATTTGTCTGTAGCCAGTTGTTGATGTTTTCGGAAATTCTTGTAATTTCTTGACTGTTTCAGCTGTTGGTATACATAAACATTGGTTTGTTGATTGCTGGCTGATATTTTTGCCTTACTACCTTTCAATTTGAGAACGATTTCAATTCACGAAGCCTTCGCGACAAATGTAGCGCAGTTCAATATTCTTGCGTTTTGAGTGTTTTATGGGGATATATTGGTGCTTATTGGGAGATTTATTCTAAAAATAACTGTTTTGTATGCCATACATGCTCTACTGTGGATGGCATGACAGTTGTTTTAGTGCAGTTAAAGGAAATAGTTCACTTTTAACATGGGATTTTGAACTGGAATAGCAGTTTCGTAGCTTGAGCTGAGACTAGCACAAATCAGGAGCTTTTACGGCTCAACGATCACCCTAGACGAAGATATTCCATTTCTCGTTCCGAAAAGAGTGCCTTGCAGAGGAATGTGTGCCTTGCACAGGAATGCAGCCACTTCATCATCAGCCAATCAGCATGCTGCTTACAGCTAATGCAGCATACGCAGGTTTGAACTACGCAATATGATTGGTCAACGCGTAATAAGCTTCCGCGTCAAACATTATTTTACATAGAATATAGTTCATCCTATATTAAAATATAGAAAATAATTGTTTTTACAAAAAGGTTTTATTTTATTTTCTGATCATTTTGAGCATAAAAAATCGTAAATCCATAGCAAAATACTAATTTCAGGAAAGTGAACTGTTTCCTTTAATAGTTATTCTGAGGGCTGTTCTCGGGCCCTGTGCTTGGTAGTTGGTAGGACCGTACGCAGGCTTCAATCTCCGCCCATGGCGTCCTAGGTCAGCCTTTCATCACCGCACACAGCGACCGCTGTGGCCAGTTGGGACAGCGTTGGCTGAGTGCGGTCTACCGTACGCAGCCGTGTGACAAACTGACGCGACGACTACCCCTCCCCTGCTCCCACGCGGCACTCCTGCTGCCTCACCGCATGCAGCGGTGTGCAGTGCCTGTGAACAGCCCTCTGAAGCAGAATAGCTGGATGATTGAATGTGGATTGTGGATTCAATTCAAATTGCTAAGGCTGAGAAATGAGAATTGCAATTGTTTGTATTGCAGAATATTAAGTGTGACTGCATCATTGCAGAGCTAACAAGGTGCCCTAGACAGCTCCCAGAAGCCAAAGCTTGGATTTAGATTCATACATCAATATTATTTATGATTGAACTTTGAAGAAAGCATGAAAATGTGCACCATAGATTCAGCTTGTCTAAGTCCCCCTACAAGCGATACAAAATTTATATCCCTCTGTTGGCATATCCAAGGGGTTTATTTGAGTATTAGCCCATTCTACAGCATCTGTAAGTGGCTAAATTGTGTCACTGTCTTTTTCTCAGGTAGTAAGGACACTAAAATAATGGAAAAAATGTTTTGAACTGTATGGCCATAGCAATGCGAAAGGAAAGTAAGGAAATAAGGTCTGAAAATTTTCTACTTGTTATGCCAGTGCTTATTTTGGAGTTAGGAATTTTGACAACCTCTCTGTCCCTTCTTTTTCAGAGCTGTTGATCAAGTGTCACCTTAGCTTCATATCTAGATATGAAGCTCCTCATATATTTATTTGCTCTACTTCTAGGTGAGTTCAGAAAAAAAATACTATTTCTGGACTAGAATGGTTTGTAACCCATGCAATAAAATAACTGATGACTGTGTTAGTAGAGTGTATGTGATACTCTACCCATCCATTGTGCAGTTGCTGAACACATAAACCAACAAATCTGCATAATATTTGTGTGTTTTAACTGTTTTTTAGATCATTTTTACATTTATGTATGATTTCAATGTGTGTGTTTGCTTTCATTCTAACAAAGACCATTTATAATTGCCTGGTTATAGCTAAAAAGAAAAATAAGTTCTCTTCATAGGTATAAATGTACACAAATTTGTTCAAGCTTTCCAATTTTCTTATCCCCATGTTTCCATACAGCTAATGTTGGTATTTTCTATTTACCGCAGGAGCTTTTCAAAGTGTGGCCAGCACACGGGTCTATGAGCTCAGTGACAGGTATGTGTTCTGATGCACCATAACACTGTACTATTTGTGGATGATTGCTAAAAGCTAATAAATAGGTAGTGTTGCTTCCCATTTTCTAATGCCTGATTTGGACAAAACTGGAGCATAACTGAAAGACAGATAGGCCAACAATCAACATTTATCAAACATTTTCTATTCTTACTTGAAATTAGGCACTTCCAGATATTATTCTTAACTTTCAACATGGTCCTTTGGCCTGGGCCTGTTTGCCTGAGGTTATGATGTCTGTGCCGTAGCAGCTGTATCATCCCATCTGTCTCGCCCCTCTCCCGTCTCCGCCGGAGCATTTCCATCATCTCCCGCCACCCCGCCAGGTTTTTGGACATCTACCAGGAGGGTACGTGGCTGGTGAAGTTCTACGCTCCCTGGTGCGGCCACTGCAAGAAGCTGGAGCCCGTGTGGATGCAGGTGGCTCAGCAGCTGGCGCACTCGGAGGTGCGCGTCGGCCGCGTGGACTGCACCAAGTACAGCGGCGTGGCCAGCCACTTCGGCATCCGCGGCTACCCCACCATCAAATTGTGAGATATGGGCAAGTTAGGAATGGAGGTGTGGTATATGATCTGTGTGGTGTCACTGAAGGGCAAGGAAATCGGGACGTTTTCAGTTGTCAGTGAATAAGTACACGAATCGATAGGTAGCATATGTGGGCATACCGACACACGAATCGAAGTGTCGGTACGCCCTGTCCGCTTCCCCGCTTGCTTGTAAACGCCTTGTACGGCTTCCATCCCCTCACCACGGCTTCCTGACGTAACTTATGATCCCAATTAACGAGTCTATTTGACTGTGTGTGACGAAATTCGTTCCTACCCCGTCCTCCACCTCCCTCTGTACCTACTTACTGCCCAGCCCTCTCGCCCACTTACAATATCCTTATATGGTCCTCACTCCTCACCTGCGACGCCTGTCCTTGCCCGCTTCTGATTGGTGCTATGATATGACGTACATCTGTATGTCTGACGTGTATATGTGACGTATGTGTGTGTGTGTCGTGAACTCGGCCGGTGCCGCGCGGTAGAGTACTTCGGTCTTTGAGTCGCAGCCGTGCACTTGTCCTTACTGCTCGGCGGACCAGTCTGTCTTCGGACCCTGGCAAAGTCAATTTGTTTGTTATCTTTTGGTTTCGGTGGCCGTGAATTGAATACAGGCCCAACTTTGTATTTACATTCTGTTTATTATTGGAATCGCGTGGTTGAACGGCAAGAACAACTACGGTCCTACAAATCTAGACTATCACAAACAAGAATTTGCTTATTAACACTTGTATTCTGTTACACTGTGTGGCTGGCCGGATGTGACCCATTGCGCCGCGTCTGCTCCCCTCCCTGACCCCCCCCCCCCGTATGCCCTCCCCTGTCGGCAGTATTCGCGGCTCCGAATTCGAGGACACCTACGAGGGCGACCGGGAGCGGGAGCACATCGTCGAGTACGCTCTGCGTATGAACGCGCCGGTGGTGGCACCCCTGGCCGACCCGGCCGCGGTCCGACAGCTCAGCTCCAAGCACGTGCTGTTCTTCGTCTATGTCGGAGAGCACGAGGGTCCGCTGTGGGAGGCGTATAGTGAGCTGGCGGGGAAGTTCCGCGCCCACCACTACTTCTACAGCTGCGACGAGAACGTCTTTCAGAAGGTGGGCTGTGGGCCTGGGGATTAGGGCGAGGGAGGGATGGTGGTGTATACAAAGTTTTGGAATGCTGTCCGTCGCTGGGCGCGGATTTTCAATCATGCAGCCAGGGTATCATGAAACATAATCGCATTATTTTCACCTGGAAGAGAATCGAGGAAAATACCGTAAGACGATACATTGAAGTTGAGGGCTAGATGAACTTTGTAAACGGCACCATCCGCGTGTTTCAGGTGGATAAGAGCGTATCCGCTCCGTCGGTGGTTGTCTGGAAGGACGGCCGGTTCCGTCCGTTCGAACACTCGCCGTCCGAGCCGCACCTCAACTCCTCGCTCTACCAGTTTGTCAACACGGAGCGGTTCACGAGGTTTATGAAGGTTAGTGGGTAGTGAGTCAGGTAGACGACTCTGCATCTGGTTTGACAGAGAATGTGCCACATGACTAGTGATAGGTTGACGATAGAAACGAGAGGGCGAGACGAGAGGGTGTGTCTCCAGTAATGTTCCATGACCGTATATGCCTCTTTTATGCTGGTTTGTACGCCATGGGGCGACCCTAGCCTCTTACTGCATCCATTGTCGTGTCTGTGTATCGACAGGTCTGGCCGCCACCTTTGTAAATAACCGGTTAACGGCGTATTGACACCTCTAACCGCCTCCCGTGTCCGCAGGTAACTGCCGGTAACTTTGGCCAGCTGCTGAGCACCGGGACTTGTTACCAGCTCTAACCATAACCCATGTCTCTATTACCAGGTAACTGCTGGTAACTTTGGCCAGCTGCTGAGCACCGGCCGTCTGCTGGTGATCGCCGTAGCCGAGGAGGACCCGGTCCGGCGGATCCCGGCCGTGGAGCAGAAGTTCCGAGACATGCTGGAGGCGGTGGCCATCGACACGGCCGACAAATACTCCTGGTAAGAGGTATTCGTTTGGAACTAAGATTTAGATATCGCGCACGGCTCATTAGCATTTATGATACTTAACGTATGCTGGCTTATTTGGTTGAGGAGTTTTTGTCTACAGCTGGTCTTTTTGAAGAAAATATTTGGTGTTGGTGTGACTTGAATCATGTCACCACCCGGCTGTTAGTTGGCTGTCGCACCATTACTGGAAGTCTCCGTTTACAATATCTCTGCCATGATAGTCAGCCGAACGGTGCCTGACCTTCCCCCCCCCCCCCCCGCCGCAGCCGTAAGGTTCAGTTCGGCTGGGTGGCCCAGCCGAGTCTGGTGAACGGCGTGGCGGCGCGCACGCTGGCCGTGCCCTCTCTGGTGGTGATTAACGCCTCCGATTATACCCACTATGTACCGGACGACGAGCCGGATCAGCTCACTGAACAGGCGGTGATGGTGTTCCTGGACAGGGTGATGGCTGGAGATGTGCAGGTGAGGGGACAGAGGGGGATGAGGGAGCGAGGGGTGTGGTTGTTTAGAGAGGGACGCTGCTTGTAGAGTGTGGTTGTTGTTTAGTGAGGAAAGGGTGTTTTCAGTAAGGGGATGTAGTGCCGCGTATGGAAGGAGAGGGTTGGGGAGATGTTTCTGATGATATAATTTATTGGAGTACTTGTTAGCTGCAGCAGGCTATTTTGTGGAAGTGGCGTCCAAATGGGGAGATGTGAAGAGAGGGACGTAGTGATATTGCGATCATCTGGAGGGGTGAGGGGTGCCGTCCAATGTCCATTAACTAGACGGAGTGAAGTCGGAGAGGGTGAGGGGTGCGCTGTTCGGTCACTGTCTGTTTCGGATAGAGGCAGTGGCTCATTGACGAGGCAGCTCAGTGTAATGACGAGTGTATCGGCAACATGTAGGTACCGAATACAGAACTACCGTGTGTGCTGACTCCTGTACCTCCCTGTACCGCAGGCAGGCGGCGGCGATTCGTACCCGATGCACGTGTACCGTGCCGTGTACCAGGTGTACTGTACTTACCCCTGTACCTGTATCTGTACCGCAGGCTTGCGGCGGCGATTCGTACCCGATGCGTGTGTACCGGGCCGTGTAAAAGGCGACTGTACTAACACCTGTACCTGTACCTGCACCGCAGGCTGGCGGAGGCGACTCGTACCCGATGCGCGTGTACCGGGCCGTGTACCAGGTGTACTGTACTGACCTGTGTGCCTCTCTCGGTACCGCAGGCGGGCGGCGGCGACTCGTACCCTATGCGCGTGTACCGGGCCGTGTACCAGACGACTGTAATAACTCCTGTACCTGTACCGTGTACCGCAGGCTGGCGGGGGCGACTCGTACCCGATGCACGTGTACCGCGCCGTGTACCAGACGACTGTAATAACTCCTGTACCTGTACCTGCACCACAGGCTGGCGGCGGCGACTCGTACCCGATGCGGGTGTACCGGGCCGTGTACCAGGCGCGCAGCTCGATCGAGGGGATGTGGCGCGGTAACCCGATCCTGACTGCGCTGCTGTTCGGCCTTCCGGCCGGCTTCCTTACGCTCATCTGCTACTCCATCTGCTGCCAGGACATCATGGACGCCGACGAGGAGGACGAGGGTACGTGCGGCGAGATGGGGGATGGTGTGGGGCGGGGTGGGAAGGCGTGGGATTGTGTAAGGGGTTTCTAATGCTGGTGCCTGGCACGGATCAAAGGACTTGTGGCGGTTTTGTGTGTTGATTGAGGATACGTTGATGTGAAAGTGAACTGCTGTGCCGATCAAAAAATGAAAAGTGTTGTAAATATACGCTGAGCTCCACCGTCATATCGTAACAATCATGGTTCCGATGTGTTCTCTTTCTTACCCCTTTTCAACCACCGATGCGTACTTATCCTTTTCTGTTCTGTTCTGCAGCTCTGTTCTGTTTGTCTACATGTTCAGCTCGTATGAATTTAGTAGTAATGGTTAGTTGGATCGCCGTCGCTACCCAAAGTCATCACATACTCTCTTCATTTAATATCTAGTGTCTGATGACTCTTAATCTGTGTCCGGCAGATTACGCGTACCACGAGAAAAACGAGTAACTGCGCCGTGCCGCCCTCTGCTGGTCGTCTGTCCGCCCTCTGCCGGCCGTGTCTCTCCGGCCTCCCTCGCCGTATCGCCCGTGCCATCGGTGTCTCACCCACCGGTCCGCCCAGCTGCTGCAGCAACACATACAGGCAGGCGACGGGGTGACGGGGAAGTGTATAGAGACGGCTGGGATTGTGGATGCCGTATGGCATCCGTGACTGGTCCTCTGTCAGACGTCGTGAGGTCGGTCTGTCATCAGCTGTGAGTCTCAGCTACAGTGGTCAAGCTGTCAGCTGCGACTGGTACTCTGTCAGTTGACCGGTCTGTCAGCTGTGACAGTATGACAGCCGTGATGCCGGATCTGCCAGGTCTGTCACCTGCAACTCATGCAAGTCATCAAGTCATCAGGGCATACTATGTGGCTGTCGGTACAATTCGCCCGATACTGCTCGTGACGCCTCAGTCGCCATTCTGTGGTCTGGCTCCCCATATAATACCGCCTAGCCAGAATTCACAGACCGGTACCGATTAGTCGTGGCTCAGTGTTTCTGATCGATGCCGCATCTCTGGACCAGTGGATTACTCCGCTTTGTCTCCTGTCAGGCACAGGAATCGATCAAAGTCAGGAATCATGTAAAGTGTTCAAGTGTGCATGTGCATGAAAGAGTGGGGTCTGGAGACTGAATAGCCAATTTATCATTTATTACATTGTACCGTTTTACGAGTGTAGGTACTCTTTTAACTAGCAATATGTATGGATTTATTGCATGATTAAGTTTATACCAGATATTCAGTTATACGGACTTTCAAGTCGCGGCCACCACTAAAGAATGAGGTGCCGTAAGTATGTTATGTGTTCATCTAACTGCCAACTACTCATTCCTTTATCGTGGTGGACTCAGTCATAGAACGGCTGCGAACTATTTTACCCATGACGTTTGTCCTGTGCGTATGTAGCTTGTGTAATGTATGCGTGAGTAATGTAGCAATCGTCAGTCAATTCGCTGTTGGCACGTATCTGTTGTCGCTCGCACTGTAACGGCCGCCGTCTTATGTGGACTGCTGAGCGTGACTTACGTTCTACGATACACTACACAGTGCACCTGTCATTCGGGGGTCTTCGGGAGTCAGAAGTTTGAGAATGCTCAGGAGGTCCACTGCTACAGCTTTGCCGTGACGTGATAATACGATGCGTAGATAACATCATGACTGCCGTTCTGGAGAGCGAGCTGTTAATGAACTACCGTTCGGAACTTCTTACATGAGCTTTGCCCAGCCGTAACAACATTGTATGCGTCGTGTGTGAGTGTTTCGTCCCGGGTCAGCTGCGTTGCGGGGTGGTCGGGTCGTGTTTCTCTGTCAGGTGTTTGTGGTTAAGGCGGGGGGGGGGGGGGAGTGACAGTATTCTCGTTCGCGTGCCATATGTGACCTCTCGGGTCATGCGTGTGACCGCTCGGGTCACTCCTGTAACCTCCTGGCTGCCATTTGTGTTACATGTCTCTCCCGATCGGATATCTAGTCAGTCACTCGCGGACAAAGCCAAATACATGACTGGCTCCGTGGCCATCCACGGCACCAGCGAGTTGAACAAAGTTTGTCTCCTGAGAACCGCTGGTGAAGCTCTCAATTCCTGTTCACGAGGCTCGTGAGGGATCTTAGAGCTGCTTTTGCACATTACGCTATTTTGCAAGCCAGTGGCTGCCTTCAGCCAAGAGACCAGCCTCCCTCTAGATCAGTCTCGCAGCGCGTCGACAGAGCTAACGTCGCTCCAAAAAGACGCGGTTGTGTCTCGGCTTTTTCCGATGGATGTCCCGGCTGTCCCCAGGGATTCCGGTCCCTGTCCGGTTTCTCTCCTCAGTCTGGACTGATTCGAACCGGTGATCTTTCATTTGCCGGTGTCTCCGGGGAGGGTTCATTTGGCCTGACATCTCCCCCATCCCAATCGTCCATTTTCGTCCGACTTTGATCGGCGGTCACTTCAGCGGAGAGACGACTCGGCTTTGGCTTGGGTACCGTGGATGCGGACACCAAAGCCACTCCGGCTGCGAATCGTTCGTGCGCTGCCTGGTCCGTTGGGAAACCTCAGCTGCGGGTCGAGGCTGGTCACTGGACAGTGGCCGCTCGGGGGAAATGCTCGTCTGAAACTCTGGCTGGCAGCAGATATCCAGTTCCGACGGACAGAGTGCTGGCCGGCAATACACTGACATTCGGTGAACGGCGGGCGGCGATACGTGTTACCACGGGATTCTCCTTTAGCGAAATACGGCAGCGAAGTGAAACAAACTGTCGGCTCTCGTTTCTCGCTCTTCCGTGTTCGTGGTCTCAGGGGCTCGATCTGCCTCTCACGGTTTTCTAATTTCATTTCTCGAAATTCCTTGCTGAGCAATCATTTCCTGGTGCTTTCGTCCCGCATCTCATTTTCCTCGATGTCCAGTTAGACTGTGCCGCAGCTCCTGGATGCTCGGCGGCACAGCATAGCTAACCAACTGCTGATCCACGCCTGTAACGTGGAAAACCTATTTGAGTCGACGCATTCCTCGATCGATACCTATTACCTCCCGGCATTGTCTCAAAGCAAGGGCGGCGCCACCGTGGGGGCAGTGGGGGCAGACTGCCCCCACTGGTAGGAGGCCGTGGGGGCAAGACTATGTTTTTGCCCCCACAAAATTTGGCTGATGTTGAAAAGGGAACAGAAGACCAGTGCAACATTCATGATAAGCGGTTATAATAGTACGCCTGTTTTTGACGGTCCCCGTATCAAGTGCATCAGCAAAACGTTCGTTCTCGGACCGTCTGTCGCATATCTCCTACTCCCACTCATTCTCCTACTCATGTTCATTCACCGTGATTGACTCCCGACAAATCATCGGCGTCACTTGCTGACTGTGCGTCCAGTTAGCGATGGACATTGGGTACAGACTGGTAGGCCTCAATCACCCTTAATCGTCGAGAATGGTCACGTGCTGACTAAATACCAAGACGCACCCGTATCGGAGACCTCTATGTTGCGGCGTTAGCCGTCTCTGTAGGAAGCGGGCTCTCTAGCAAAAGCTATTTTGTCTACAGAAATTAGTTACTGTGGAGCATATTGCTACCAGCCATGGCAACCACGTAAGCTCAGTTACGAACCAATTCCAGCGTGCCTTTAAGCAAGAGAGCCTATAAACGTAACATTTAGGTGAAAACGAACTTATGGGACACCCATCTCACGTGCTTTCAAGCATTTTTGGGATGTTTCGGTTGGTTTCAGGTTCAGTCCGAGCTCAGTCTGGGTTTCGGTGGTTTTGCCCGGTGTGTGCCCTCAGCTCCGTTCATCCAATTCTGGCCCAAGGCAACGCAAGAGCGCTGCCGGCATCTAGTACCTAATTAAGACATGTTTCCCATCATTTAAATGAATGCTTAGACTAGAGCAAAATGGATGCCAGAATCGTGATCAGTGGCTACGAAATCATCACAAAGGACTTTTCATGTGTCAAAGTCAGGGGCGGATCCAGAAAATCTCCAAGGGAGGGGCCATTAGAAACCAGGAGGCCCCCCACCTGTTGGAGGCCCCATCTTCCCACTTGTTGGGCCCCCCCCCCCAAAAAAAACTGCGTCTATTGAACTTATCTAGCTGTTCAGTGGATGCGAGTGGAGGCCCTCTGTGGAGATTAAGAGGTCCTGTGTTGGCGAAGAGGATATCTGTGCAAGCTTGGAGTCCCTCTGTGCAGGATAGGAGACCTTCTGTGTGAGTTAGGAGACCCTCTGTGTTGGCTAGGAGGCCCTTTGTTCGGATGCGAGTGGAGGCCTCTGTGTAGGCTAAGAGATTTTGTGTTTGTTAGGACATCTGTGCAGGCTTGGAGGCCCTCTGTGCAGGTTAGGAGGCCCTGTAAAAGTGGTCATCTCTGTGAGTATAAGAGACCTCCAAGTTATGAAAAGCTTTACCAATCTTCTAACAAAGAAGTCTTCTCAGCTAGTCTTCTAAGAAATAACTAAGTGGGTAGGTTAAAAAAACTCATCGGATTTCGGCCACTTTATTTTCAGGAGGCCCCCTTTTCAGCTTTTTAACTTTTTATTTTATTTTTGAAAAAAATCGGCCAAGGGGGGGGCCATGGCCCCCATGGCCCCCCCCCTTGTATCCGCGCCTGGTCAAAGTCAACCAAAGGTCATTCGAGGTCACATGAGTACCATAATAATTTTGAATGGCAACATCTAGGGGCAAGTTGCTCATGGATTTTGCAGATTGGCGTATCAGACAACAGTCGGGTCACCTCAAGCTTGCCCCCACTGGCGAAAATTCGTGGCGCCGCCACTGTCTCAAAGGATACCATTAGTGGTTCCAATCAAACTCTCTGCATACCTAACACACTCATTCATGCTCAATGGCTCATTCTCTGGTATGACTTTGATTTTTCAAAGTTGAAACTTGAAGGTTTGTTTCTTATGCCTTCATTTTGGTGTAGTCGTTTTAGTTCTTGTCAGCCTGGTACGGTCACCCCATGCAGATTGCAGCACGCTGTGCCTTGTCCTTGTTTTACCACTTTCGCCAACGACCCAGCACCAGTCCATAGTCAATATTCCTACCGTCCGTGTTCATAACCGGCTTATGATAAATGTCCCCGGAACAGGGGTGTCGGCAGGTTATTGCCGTGGACAGGCCGATATGAAAAACCTGCCTCGTCGGTGCGGGTTCTGCTGATGACTTCGATTTGTTTGAAAGGGGTGGGGATCCCGATCGCCACACGAAGCTATTTTTGGAGACAGGGCTGAGGGCAGCGTCCCCGGTTGGCTTGTAGCGTATTTGAACTGGACATTCAAGGGTCAGTGCCGGTTTTAGAGCCTTTTGAGCAGACCGTATAGTGGTTACTGGTTTGGTTTTGGCTTCAAAACCATTGCCAATGCCGTGACCCGGATTCGAACTGGGGTTACTGCGGCCACAACGCAGGGTCCTAACCACTAGACTATCACGGCTCTGCGTTGCTTTCGTCACGTCACGCGGCGCGGGCGTGACAGCCTGTCTGGACGGCGGCGTCTGGAGTAGGGCGTGACGTCACTCTGACGTCAGTCGTCACACGTGGTGAAAGGATGGGAATGGGGGGCACAAGGTCGAGAGTTGGGGACAGAGCCCAGAAATTTTTCATACAGCTTATTTGACACTTAGGTACGACGAGCATTTGTAATATGGCGTTGCAACGTGATGCCTAGTAGGTAGTCGTATAATAAGCTTCGACAGTAAACTGATATGCCGGACGTTTGTATGGGTCTATGGGATGTTAGCTGAAGCTTGAACAATGAACATTGCACATGTTCTGTGTGCGCCTTTTGCTTTGAATTATGGCAGCGTTCCTCTCTCAAAATCAATCGCATTTTCAAATAATTACGTAAAAAGGTAGCTCCCTCGGATCGATGCCACGCCACACGGAGTTTCAGCTCGTAAAGACCCTAGCTGCACGAGGGCAGTAGCCTAGGGGATGATGATGCTCCTATTGAACGCGTGTTCTTCCAGGCAATCAAGGATGGCAATGTTGGAAGTTCTACGAGCGACGTTTTTCGAATAAATGAATGAATGAATGGATGAATGAATAAACAAAAAAGTAAATAAATAAGTAAATGGTTCATAAATTTAAATGAATAAACGAACGAATGGAATTCGATCACTATTGCGCAAAATTGACACAAATAAGCCTTCACGACTGCTCGGTACTCATTACCTATCATCAGAGGTCCCATCACATTTATTTATTGATCTTGTCTATGCTTGGTAATGCTTAGAGAATAAAAGATCAAACCGTAAACCAAAACCAAACCAAAACCATTGCCGTTGCCGTGACCCGGATTCGAACCGGGGTTACTGCGGCCACAACGCAGGGTCCTAACCACTAGACTATCACGGCTCGTGCAGGTGTTTCACGGCACGTGGAAGCCCCGTGGTGCGTGACCTGGTTTTCGGCACCACGCCTGACCGGCCCCGCCCCGCCCGCCGCGGGTGACGTCATCTGTCTGGTCAGTCTGTAGGTGTGACGTCACACAGTGAGAGCACACAGCTGAGCTGTTTCCCAGCGTCATGGAATGGAAAGACGTTTAAATGTGCGATGGTTAACTTGTGAGCATAGGTACATGTGCTTCGACTGTTCGACTTTCGAGGCTCAACGGAGACAGCCTGGGTGAAGAGTTTACACTTAGCGGTATTTGCTTTTGTACTCCTACCATCGTCCATCGATGTTGTGTGCACTGTGCACAAATGGCAAAATCAATTGCCCACGTTCATTGCTTGCAAGCATTAAACAGTTGACCTACTTTTCATCGTAAGTGAAAATTATAAATATTTTTTGCTAAAACGAACCGGTTGGCTCACTAGGCGTCTCTAAGTTGCCTTCACGCCTATGCACATTGCACTGATTGCAGTCACAGACAGGCGTATAAGCATGCAGTTGCTGAACTCTCAAGTATCCTCGACCTCCCCACATTATACACCGAGTGCTCATCCGCCCTACCTCGCTCCACACAACTCCGTCCGTTTCAATTCCGCTCTCTCTCTCTCCAACCATCAAGCGCTCTCTCCGTCCATCTCCTCTCTCTCTCCACTCATCCCTCGCTCTCTCCTCCCATCCCCGGCGCTCTCTGCTCTATCTCCTCTCTCCGCTCCATCCTGCGCTCTCTCCGCTCCAGCAGCCGCCGCGTCGTTTTTGCGCGTCGCCTTCGACGGCCGTTCGTCGGGGCCGACGTGGCCTGAACTCACAGACGGCCGGCGGCGGCGGCGGCTCGACAGTTTTTAGCGCGGCGCCGCTTGATACCTGTGACGTCATACGAGACCGCGAGCACCGTGCCATGAATGGCGCCTGTTCGGGCCGCCGGGACCGCAACGGTGAGTAGGGCACTAGCACCCGGCGACTACGGCCGGCCGCACCTGGATGATAGAGCTGTTTTTGTTGTCCGGATGGGTTGGGATAAATAATGTAAAGCGAATAAATTTGATAGATTTATCAAATTTAATTTTTATTGCAGTATTGATAAATTTGATAATACGGGCGAGTGCATTACTGGGCATCGTTAGGGCATTATTTTGGCATTTTGAGAAGCCAAAGATGATGGCATTATGAGAATGGATTTGGTTGGTAGATAACTCAAAATTAATTATAAGAACCTTATCAATAAATTTCCAAAAGTGGCACTTGTAAGTTGTAGGTATAATGCCTTCCTAATCCACAGTAATGTTGATGCTCAGATCGGCCACTCTCCTAAATTAGTGTACCTACTTCATGGGTCCGTACGTTTTAAACTGTCATTTGCTTGCATAACTGAATATAACTGCCGATAGCACGGCAATGAAATTTTTATGTCGCCTCTTTTATGCCTTGCAATAACGATATTTCGTGTTTCAGAAACTTAGAAATTGGGATATATTCCAAGTATCATCATCAACCGAAATTTTCGAAGCAAAACCTGGAGTCCTGAAAGGTGTAGACAAGGTTAAAAAAATATATAGGCGTCCAGATCAAAAGAAGAAATCCAGTGAGAGTAATTGAAAAGAACAGCTGCACATACATAGGTATCTCCAAGGAGCAGCGGACCGGCCAGAGTCCCAGGTGTGCGCCGTTTCATACGAAGTTCGAACAGAGCCCTGCCAGCCAGCCGGATCACGTGGTACCCGTGTGTGCGCCCGCCGTACCGCCATGTACCCCTGGTACTGGGACAGTGTGCCTCGGTCGGGTACCACCACTGGGTCACCGCCGCCACTCGTCAAAGCAGAGGACGGCCTCTACGGAGACTGTATGCGGCGGTATCGCAGCGACGGAACGAGACAGGTCAGTTCAGACAGCAGATAAAATGTGATGGAAGATAAAAATTACGTTATTTCTTAATCTGTCTAATCAAAATAATTATCAATTCAGACTCATGTAAGGTCAGACATACTATATAGTCTATATAACACTGCATTTATCGAATGCAGGTAATGCAGAATATGATTTCCTATAGCGCTATAACATATAGGTTTGAAACGTTGTTGAGTCAGACGGAACAGCAAACACATATTCTGGGCCTGTTATGTATTCCTGAGTGTTTTGTACTTCATATTTGTGCCACATGTGCAATGTGCATGCACATTTTATGCACACAGCACGTTCATAAACATTTAATCTATCTCTCGCATTCATATAATAGAATGACGGGATAATCATGAACACTTGACATGCTTATATACAATTAGTTATCCCTCATTGTCGACTCTAAACTTCAGAATAATGAGGATACCATCGTAGAGCAATTTACAAATTATTCATCTCAAACCCTTGTCATGTGCCTAATCACATCACATAAAACTAATAAGACGAAACAAGTAAATACATGGTGCCTTCACTATTACACAATGGACAACAAATTCCACTGATATCAATATACACTATACACGGCTAATAAATGTCAATCAACTGATCTGTCTATCAGGCTAGCTAGCAGGTGGCTATTGTTGAAGATGATTTCTACTGAGGTAGATCGGTTAGAAGCTGAGCTGCAGTCGCATACGACACGCTCGCTCAATATGTTCTATAGATAACTACCGCACATCTGGAAACTAAATACAAATCATCTGACCGTCGCTTTGTGCACAGATATTTATAGTTTATCTTGATACAGAGATAAAGAGGACATTTGAGTTGCTCTAGTTCCTCTAATTTCGGAACAGTTAAATAGTTTTACATGATACCATTCATGTGGCCATGCATTATGCATGCTCAGCATGAGCGGACTAAGCTACATCCATAAATATTTAATACATCTTGTAATAACTGACCAGCCTGTCCATATTTCTATACATATTGCATGAGAGAAAAGTTCCAGATAATCGCTCGACGAATGACGAATTATCGAATGCATTCCCAAAAATGGAACGGCATGACATGCCCTCTTAAACTTGCTTCTGCAAGGGTATATTGGTATGGAGCTACAAAATAAATGTTTCAATTATAAATAAAGATTGAGACTCAACCAAGTAACGGCCAGCAACTGATACAACAAATGACTCAAGCCGATTTCCTCCATTTTATACAACGCACTTGTACATACCATCGCGCTGGTGAGTCACACATTACGAGCTACTACACCAGTGCTTCAAAACAATGTTACCATACACGATCTCGTGGTTCCATGTCACAGGCAGGTGTCCATAGTCTCAGTTACGCGATATTCACTGATACACGCCCCATCGACCATTATCGTCATTGTAAGACTGATTATATTTACGGCAGCACATTTCGTCCGTCCTCGGTCCTCACAACACTATAGGTACGGAGACCCGCAGTTGCTACTGTACACGAACTCCAACTCTAGCCGTCTGTCCTGTCCACAACAACCGATAACATTGATATCGACTGCCGGTCCCTGTACAAGAGCAGCTGAGGTTTTCTGTGCGTGCCCTCTGACAGCTTATCGTTGTTCCCTGTGAGGGTGCTGGGACAATTTGCTCAGGGTCGCTGTACAGTAGCAACTGCGGGTCCCCGCACACAATTGTGCTTATACTCAGTCATAGGCTCAAGGCTGTACGACGACAATCTTTCACCACTTGATGGCATTTCGTCATGCCACATCAGTCACGAGTCAACTCACTCATAGAGCAGGCGCTCTAGCTGGTTGCAGTGGTGGGATCAGGGCACATATCCTCCTCCCATCGGAGTTGCAGGAGAGATGTAGATGCAGGCTCTCCACGGTTTCTTGGCACTTGCACTACTCTCAGCGGCAGAGGCAGCCGTAATAGTCGCGTAACTACATATGAAGTTAAACAGATCATGTGGACCAAAGCCCAGAGACCGTGACATCAGAGACCGTTCAGCGTAACGTCCTTGACCAATGGTCAGCGACCAGAGGGGCTGGCCATTGGTGTCTCAGAGCCATCACCTGGCTCCGAGGACCGAAGGTCTGGGCGCTCACCAATCCAGACCTGAAACAGGAAGAAACTGTCAGTGGTGACAAATGACAAAGGCTTGCCACGACGGTCGACGGCAGTCTTTATTTGTCGTGAGGATTGAGCTGGTCGGTGAGGGAATATGCTGCCGAATAACAATGAGCCAATACAATAATTATTTGCGAGATGCCATTTTACGAATAGACGATGAAGAAAGAATCAAGGCCTGTTTGTAATTGTAATTCGTCATCAAGTATGTTGTAGGCTTTGAATAATTGATCAGCACCAAATACTTCTTTTTTGTATCTTAATCCAATACACCCACGTTACGGTGATCCACTGGATGTGTTCTTTTTCCATTGATAAGCTACATAAAAACACCGCTGCTCAATCAGCCATGCTTATTGAATGGTTTCTTAAACACAGCGACTGCCCTTGCACACTGCGCTGACCTAGACCGTGGCATTAGAACAGAGAGGTGACCCAGTTCAGATCACCGCCGCGGCGCGCCGGCGGCAGCCAGTGCGCCGTTTTTGTCGCAGTTGCTATCGATTGCTGTTCGCTCGCAAGAGCCACGCGTTTTTGCTCGCGTTGTGGCCCGCGCGGCAAAAAATCGGCGATCAATGCCAGCCTGGCGAATGCCGGCAAAACGACGAAACTGGGTAAATGAAGGCGGCAAGGGGGAGAGAGAGGGAGAGAGAGAGAGAGAGAGAGAGAGGGAGGGAGAGAGAGAGAGAGAAAGAGAGAGAGAGAGAGAGAGAGAGAGAGAGAGAGAGAGAGAGAGAGAGAGAGATAAAGAGAGAAAAAAACTTATGCTTTTATTTAGTTGTAGGAAGCAATTCATTTTAGTAGCTTAGATAGTGTTAACAGAGGTGTGTCCACTGTCCGTATCTACTTCAACAGGATACGTCTTGTCGTAAAGCGATGCTTAATGTCACACAAAATAACTTTCCTAAGTCGTTTTCAGCCCAATCTCAGAAAACGAAGTCGCTGAGCCAGTGGCGGCGGAAGCGGGGGGGCAGCGGGGGCACGGCGCCCCCCCATCTTCCAGGGTGGGGGGCAAACATATCTTTTTGCCCCCCCAAAATTGCCTAACCTAACCTAACCTAACCTAACCTAACCTAACCTAACCTAACCTAGCCTAACCTAACCTAACCTAACCTAACCTAACCTAACCTAACCTAACCTAACCTAACCTAACCTAACCTAACCTAACGACGAAGTACCACAATACTTCCATACTACGTCAGGAACATATGCCAGTTTGGCTGAGTACCTTTTTATTAAGTTGATATAGCGAGTAATTTGGATTGATAATAGCCGTTTTCACGACGGGCTATCCGGCGAGCTAGTCCGTGACGGACTATTTCCACCAAACGCCCTCCACACATAATGCTCAGAAATCAAGCAGAGCTATCTACGAGCTACCGGTAACCGAAGTCTGGAAGAGTAGGACGGAACGCGAGTGGCCCGGCACGGACGTCACGAAAGCGCGTCTGAGCGTGCCACATGCCTTTCCCCGCGACTCTGCCAGACGCCAGCCGGCATAGGCGCGTGAGCCGGGGGGCAGCATGGGGGCAGCCTGCCCCCACAACTCTGGGGCCGTGGGGGTCGCTGCCCCCACAAAGTTTCAAAGGGCCAGGAACCGTCGGGGCAGCTTGTCCTCCCCATATTAGCGGCCGTGGGCCTCAAAGAAAAGCTGAATGGAAGACAATACCTATTTAAGTAAAAAAATCCCCCTCTGTACGGGGAACCGCAGTTGCTATTGTACACGAACCCCAACTCTAGCCGTCTGTCCTGTCCAGTAACAACCGATAACATTGATATCGACTGCCGGTCCCTGCACAAGAGCAGCTGAGGTTTTCTGTGCGTGCCCTCTGACGGCTTATCGTTGTTCCCTGTGAGGGTGCTGGGACAATTTACTCAGGGTCGCTGTACAGTAGCAACTGCGGGTCCCCGTACCTGACTTGACAGCTCATGTGTGGAAGCTTTAAACGTTTATTCCAGGTTACCAAAAAGGTAGTTTCTCGACTCAGATGAGACTAAATATCTCACTTATTTGCAAATGTTTTATTTTTTTTTAATTTTTGTTGTAAAGGCCAAGGGGTGAAAAATAAGTGGCCTAAAACCGGTGAGAAAACTAGATCTGGGGGTACCCTAGGTTCCGGGAAGGATCAGGTGTGCCCCCCCATCCCAAAATACCTTCCGCCGCCACTGCGCTGAGCTCCTCTCTAGAAGCGAGTGAGTCAGATGTCAGCCCTCACAAACTGGACAGCACTCAGCAGCGCTGGGTCCCTGATCCCTCCGTGCCACCTGATCCCTCCGGTCTGAGTAATTCGTCACACAGCGTCAACCACCGCAAGTGTGTCCCATATTTATTTATATGAGTCGAAAAGCGGGCGACTCATCAGCGCACTTTCTTAGTCCCAGCCTTATGTAACGTTGGTAAGAACGATGCAGTAGAAAAATGTCTGTTGGCTTCTGCTCTACATATCTTTTTAACGTTTAGTCGTTTACTACCATCAAATGGACACCGCTGTTCCAGTTTCAAGCACAGTCCCGTTCAAATTAGGTACTTGTTCCATTGTTACCTACAGCCGCCCATTGCAGAGGTGCCAAGGACTAAGGAGCCTATCGGCCTCCCCCACACCCCGACCTGGTATCGCCTCTGTTGGCACGGCCCCACCTCCCGGTCAATGGCCGCTCTGCAAAAACGGTCGCAAAAAGGCGCACAAAAAGCGGCGCAGCGGCGGCAAAAACGGCGCTCCGGCCAGCGAATCGAGGTCAGGTGGCGCAAGATGGCGTCCGAGTGCGCTGAGTCAGGCGGAGGGATTCGGGACTGCGGCGAGGGTTCGCAAAGCCCCGCGGTATGACACCACGTGGCCCTGTTGCAGTGGCTCTGACACCGTCCTTACTAACAACTCCCTATCTGTACCTTCCTACCGTGTGGTTATCGGATATTCGGAACTGAGTTGAATTCAGATCGTGGCCAGTTTTGCCAGCAGAAAAATCGTCATGTGAATTATGTTTTGTTTAAAGTAGGTAATCCTTGAATTCCGCCGAAAGTCGCCAGCCGAAAGAACATGCCGATGGGAAAAAATAATACCTATTTCCTAGCCAAGCCAGCTTAACTGATATGTTTTCACATCAGTGTGTTTATTTTCAACTTTTTTTTTGTGGCCGGTTTGATTTATGAAATGCTTTTATGGTTAAAAACGGCAGCCGGCGACTTTTCTTTTGGTAAAAATGATCGGGATAAGAACAATGTACACGTCACACGGCTACAGTGCTCCTTTTCCGAGTTAGCGATTGCCGATCTGTAGATGCTCCTCGCAAGCATTGAAGTGCAAGAAAAACTCCTTTATTCTTACGTCCCATAAAAGTCTCACAACAATTGCAAGGGCAGTTGTCGATGCGATTTTTAGTGTTTGTTGACTCTCAAAATCAACTCCCAACTAGCAATATTGGTCCTGAGAGTCAGATTCTCAGCGCCCGCCGGGCGAAGGACCGTCCGCAGTCGGTCCGCGCAGGACCAGTCCTCCATCTTCGCCGGCCGGCCGGCCGCCGGCGCCGCCTCCACTCTCATTGGTCAATATCGGGCAAAAAATCACCAACACGGTCTGCCGCCTGGCGGAGGAAGAACGATTTTCCCCGGAGGCCCCGCCCACTCGCTGACGTCACGCGTCGGGCGTGACGCTGGTGGCTGCTCGACCAATCAGAGGGGAGACTGCCCGGCTGAAAAAATACACTCTCTAGCAGCGATACCACGTCACAAAGGAAACACCGCGCGCGGGTCGCACGGCCGACGGCGCACAGCGGGAGAAGACGGTGGGAACGAGGTGCTGGGACCTGGGTACGATTAATAATAGGGCGGATGAAATAAAGTTAAAGGGACTATCCCACCTTTAACATGGGGTTTGAGTTGAGATAGCCAAGTTTGCGGCGAGGTTCAGAAACCACTATCTATCTAGGTTGCAACCCCCGCGGCCTCTTGGTGTTGAAGAAATTCGTTCCCTTCATTTGAAAATGGGCCTTGTACAAGGCCCTATCTTCAACATGGAGCGACCGTTAGTGTGACGTCACCTCGTTTAGTCATTCTGATTTAAATGGGTTTGTTCGTTGAAAAATCGCTTAAAACTTGGTCTGAACTTTGTTGTGGTGCCTACAGAGTAAAAAGAATCAGCCTTATGACAGTAATGTGGCCTGGGGAAGGAGGTAATTTTGGGCTGTGACGTCACATATTTGAAAGTTTGTGTTTGGAATATGGGAAGCCTAGGATGTTTAATGAAAAATAAATGCCAGAACCGTGTTCCTGGTCATCCAATCTATAAAGTCGGGCACAATTTAACTGGTTTTAACAACATTTTAGAAGGTGGGATAGTCCCTTTAACTGATATATCACCAGGTAGAATTATATGTCAAGGTAGTGTTTCATTTTATAGGAATAAGGGCGAAGCATGGCATTGCTTAGCCGACGGAATCTCGTTTTTATTAAAGAAAATATGTTTAAGAATAATAAGCCTTTACTACATTTTGCAACTCATGGGGTAAATCCCCCATGCCGCTGGGTGAGCATTATCCCTCACAGTTTTCCAGCCCCGTTGATATGTAGGACAGCACTAATCCTCCGGGGATAAGAACCCCAGTAAAAAGCACGCTCACTCAGTTGGTAAAAACCCACAGAGGACGGCAAAACCGGGGGACGGATAGCCGTAATCGCAATGCAGATATCGAGTGACCCAGATTGGCTAGCGACCGGTAGGCGGCGGCGGAAATGGCGCGAAATTATGGCGCCGCACGAGAGCCGAGCGGCGGCGGCAAAAACGCAATTATCCCCACAGACCTGCTGTTTCGCTTAGCTAATGTAAACAAAGCGAAAAGCTTGGTGTTCATCGAATGGGGAATAATAACGAGTGCGCGTGTGACGCAGCCCTAATGTGGAATAGTGTGACTAATTGTGTGACTAATTGCCTCACAATAAGTCATAACGATAAGCTAACGTTATACCAACCAAATTGCAAGAATGCGCTATTTTGCCTAAGTGATGCTATTTGATTCATAATTATCAAGAAAACGTTCATGCATATATTACATGTGTGTTACCTTACACGAAGCAAAAAGAGCCAAAAGAGGTGATCATTCCGTGGAAGATCATTCGTGCGTAGCAGGAAATGTATGATGAGGACAGCTTTAATGCACCTTATTCCAAACTCAAAATGTCTGATTTCCCATGACACTGGAGCTCTAAGCTCGGGCCAGCTGGCCTGTTGCCAGACAGCTCGCTAAACCAGCACAGCGTCGGACCCAGTCCAAACAAACGGAGACCGGCCGCGGCTGAGAGACGCCGGCTGTTCCTCCCAGTTGGATTCAGAGGCGCTGGCAGCCTGTTCAGAGGCGCTCTTATCTCTCCTCTCTCTCTCTCTCTCTCTCTCTCTCTCTCTCTCTCTCTCTCTCTCTCTCTCTCTCTCTCTCTCTCTCTCTCTCTCTCTCTCTCTCCCTCTCTCTCTATCTCTCTCTCTCTCTCCCTCTCTCTCTCTCTCTCTCTCTCTCTCTCTTCCCTCCCTCTCTTGCTCTCTTCCTCGATAGTCGATAGCTAGAGCGACGGCTCAATCCTTTGCGTAACAGCTTCGTTCTTCTCGACGAATGTCGAACCCTAACCAATTGAAATAATTGATGCAATGCCAACGCTGGTGAATCCCAATTATGACATTTCAGGGAGTAGTTTCAGTGACAGCTCTCCTTTGAGTTAACTGCAATCATCTCAACTCCAATCTGAGGTGAGCGGTAACGCCCCGCGACGCCGGTAATCGTCGACAATTAGCCGCCTCCACGACACGACACCCTGCGCTGCCCGTCGGCCGGCGCGGCGGTCGGAGCCGCCGCCGCCGCCGCCGGCGCAGGACGCCCAACATGGCCGCGCAAAAACGAGCGCAAAAAACGCCTGCAAAAAGGTGCGTTTCGGCGTTGGCCGCGCGCGCGTGACCCACCGGCGCCCCGCGGCACCCGGACGAGCAGACGCAAGAAGCGGCGGCCGCCGGCGGACGCAGGCTGTACAAGTCCTTCGACAGAAAATCGCCCCGAAAAAGTGGTCGCTAGTGCGTGTGAGGCTGGGGAGTGAGCCGTCCGAGGGCGAGTTATGGCCGAGGGAGGTGTTATGTGGTCCGAGGATTACCAGCAGGAGGTGTGGCAGCAACCCGCCGTTCAGGAGCAGGAGCGGGGCGGACAGACGCCACCGGAGGTACGGAGAGTAAGCCTCCTGGGTCACACGGACCGTGAGTGGTGGTTGGCTCCCATGAGGATAAAAAGAGTGGTCTATCCGCTGCATCGATGTGCACTTTTGCAGGTTTTCCCCAGAAGTCCACCTTGAGCAGCTTTGTCAATAACCCATGGAGCTGCCGGTTCCGTCCTAAAAGTCATGGTTATTTCACGGTGCTGCGCGCTCAGACCCTTGTGATATCCCCACTGGTTTTCTGAGGGTGATAGGGGCTAATTCGAGAACCATTAGCCACTTTTGAGAACGACCTGATCGTCCAGAGCCGACTAGGGTTAATGCTTTCAATCTATATGGGATGCCTGTCGAATGCGAACTTAGGAATACATACAAGTGTGATGTTGCGCATGGGGCACATCCGTAGGAACTAGGAACGCACGATTTACAGGTATTCGTTCCTTTCTTTTCACTTTTTACCATTGATAAGGGTTTTTGCAAACATGGAGGAGCAATGCAAACGTATCATGCATAGATGCAGGGTTGCTGTTCAGTCTGAACAACACCGGCGAAAACGAATCACCAGCAGATGAGCGAAGAAGAAGGGCAACTCTTCAATCACAACAAAAGGCGGTGCAATTGACATCTCGTTGAACCTCCAACCCAAAATAAGATGACAAATGTAGGAAAGCCTCATGCTCAGTCCATAACAAGTAACTAGTAAGTTGCTAATGCTGACCCCAGTCTCAGTTTCGCCCCTGGCGACGACCGTCGGTGCTGCCTGGCGACCGTTGGCCTCTTCCCACGGTGACGTCACACGGGCTGCCATATGGGTGGTTTTTGTCCCGGTGACACAAATTCCTTCGGATCGTGTGACACGCGGCCTTCAGCCGGCAATGACAGTGGTATGCGCGGTGATCATTGAACATCGTTGGCCCCGTATGAAAACCAGGCCAACGGGGAACAGTATCATGCAATTATAAAGAGCAATGACTACCAGCAAACCTCCACCGTATAGATTTGGATAACATATGAACGGTTCTTTTTTGTATTACCTACTAAACCCATTCAAAAGACAAATTTTGGTACATTATCTGCTAGACAATGCCATGAACGCAACCTGTTCAAGAAATCACACTACTTTCAGTTTGCATCGTTTTACACTGACCTTTTCTGTCGACACGTAGCGGTTCATTCTGCCGTCCGTGCTGAGTAGAGCAGCCGGAAGCGTTTGACCATGCCATCAGAGACGGCCGAACCGAGAACAGCGCTCAGCCTCTTGGGGTCATTTGAGCCTCTCTGCTGAAATTTTCCGAGTTGTCGGACCGAACAGCCGAGGCTGAGCTGCCGCACGACTCACTCGCACGATTTCGATCCATCTGCCGAGAAAATGGAGGAAAGACTTTTGTCATCGCCAGCATCATTTTCCAACAAAGGAAACAACAGCTACCTGTAGCGATGACTGTTGGCGAACGATATTTGTCACAAGGTCAGTTTCAGTCTCATCACTATCACATTCACTAACCTTCACTGCTTGCGTATAAAAGATACATACATGCATAAGGGTGCTAGCTGCTAGGTATGCATTTCAATTTTGTGGTCGGACCCCTTCATCCCAATAGTTAAAACCGTGCGGGTTCGCTGCACCAAGGTCGCATTGGGTCGTTGGAGCTTTTGATCAATAACTCCCGGTCAGGATGAGTAAGCACGTCGAAAAAGGTAGGTGCCAAGAAATTCAGAATTTTAACTTGTTCTGGTCCGCTTTTGGCAAAGGTAGCGTTTCACCAAAAACCGGACCTCAGTCAAGGGTTTCCCACTCGAACACTCGGGTGCACTCGGTCTAAGGCTGACAACTCGATCGTTCCGACAGCTGACAACTATAATGTCCGTCAATCTAGCAGTGGATTTTTATTTGTGAATCTGCTGCTGGCGGTTATACGTCCGGACGGGCTGAATATACTGCTCTGGCAGCAGATTCGTCATTCGTCGAATGTCTGTCTGTCTTATACAAGCAGCAGATTCAGAAATTCGCTGGCCCCGGATATGCTGCTAATAGCTGCGGGTTCGTCGAACGTTTGTCTACTAGCAGTAGATTCGGACCGATAGATACCGTGACAATTGATACCGCAGAGGAGCCGCGCGGCAGCATATTCGCCAGTCTGCTGCTGAGAATGGATATGTTCGATTCTGCTGCTGCCCGCGATAGATTCGGGCAGATTCGGGCAAAACGATTCAGTTGAACATCTTTACGTACGGTCGGCTCTGCCCGCGGGGAGGCGACTAGCGGTGCTTATTCCACCCGTCATATTATTTAACTGTACCGTGGCGGCGGTTACAGTCATTATGTTTCCTGTCTATCTACTGGTGTTTCTTTTGTTTCGTGTATTTTTATTTAATTAGTTTGATTTTAGACACGACGCTTTAATTTAAGCGAATTCCTTATGCGTCTGTCTGCAGCATGTTAAAAAGCTATGTCTTACAAAGTGTTTAATAAACTGGTTGATGATGATGAAGTGCCTGTCCACCGTTGGAATATCCATTTCAATGTCAACTGTTGAATTCGCGATTCGCGAAATGGAATTCAGTAGTGGATAGTAGAAGTGGCCCCTAGGAATAACGAATCTGACGGTATTATTTGATTTTCATATCCACAATTTTTTCATATCAAATGAAAATATGTGGTAACTATATGAAGATTCGGTGAACACCTCCATTTTCAGCAGCAGATTTACGAGTATGCTGCTGTGCGTCTCCACGGCGCAATTAACCCGCGCATAGCTGTGGGAAGCCTCTACAGAGCCCCCTCCCGTTTTTCTGCAATAACTTCCAAACCACTTGACGTATCGACGCGCCAAACTTTCAGTACCTTCGGCTGCATCAATTTGACACCTTATATTCAAATTTGAACTTCGTAGCTACCATAGGTCGGCCGGAAATGACGTCAGAGTGACATCATGTTCGGCCGATTTCGACGCAAAACATTGAACCACGGCAATCGCTCCCAAGAGCTCAGTTTTTAAGCTAGATCCAATTTCTTTGCATGAAAGGACTCAGAATTGACTGCGCTATCAAACTGCTATCTCGGATTTTCAAAATCTCGAAAATTTCGAAAATTTTATATAATAATATTCAAAATTTATATTTCTATATTTTTTCGAAAAATTTTGATTTTTCGGAAAAACCGGAACATATGTGACAGAATGCACGCTTATGACTAACTCTAGAAAGTTTTAGTTAAATATCTTCAAAAATGGCCAAGTTATACGCATTATTGTAAAAAGTTCACAATTATTTATTTTTCAAATCAATTTTTCCGCACGTATGTACATCGTACACCAATATAAATAGCACCATCGTGTTCCTGAGCTCAAACTGCATCCAATAGACAACTTTTATTGTTGAAAAATTTAAACTTCAAAATTTGACCTTTTTTGACCTGAAAGTAACCTGACCTAAGCTAAATTCGACTCAAAATGACCTCGAATGACACAGACGACATCAAATTCGAAATCTATGACCTAAATGGACCATAAAACATGTGTCACGTGACCGACGCATGATATAATATTTCCGTAACCTGTGATGACCTGACCCTGACCTGAAAATCAAAGTACAAGTTTGGTACCCTCAAGGTATCTAGAGCATCTGTTCACGAGTGTGTAAACCAAAAATGAACCTGATCTGACTTGTAAGACGGCGGCCAGAGCCCAAAATGTGAACAAGCCGAAATGCTAATAATTTTTACTTTGACCTGACCTGTGACGTCATCGGTGACCTTGAGGTAAATGAAATTAGGTTTCGCTCGACAGTTTTTCCGGGGCTATCAGACGCCGTTTGAATTTTGACGATCGGCCCAATAGTTTCGGAGTTAGGAGGGGGGGGGGCTATGGAGAGCCCCCCCCCCCCCCAGTAGGGCGTGTTATACGCACACCCCAGTAGGGCGCGGGTTAACCCGCGCCCTGGTGGGGTCTGTTTATAACGCGACGGTGGGGGGGGGGGGGCTATTTTTTGCCCCCCCCCCCCCTCGTATCTCCGAAACTACTGGACGGATCCGCAAAATTCAAACGGCGTTCGAAAGGCCTGTCAAATTTGTTGAAGGAAACCAAATTTCATTTACATCGGGGTCACCGATGACGTCACAGGTCAGGTCAAAGATGAAATGTTTCACCGTTCACGGGTCTGCTAGGGAATGCGCTATAACACCGAGGAAAACGCATTTTGTCGATAATCAGCGATAGGGCGTCAGTTGCCTAGTAGATATGTTGCTATTAGAGGTCACTGACAATACCAGGTCAGGTCACAGGTCAGGTCACCAAGGGTCACAGGTCAGGTCACATGAGCCCAACTTTACTAAGGTTGTGTCACATGTTTTATGGCCAATTTTTCATTTCCAACTCAATGGTGTTGGTTATAAGACTATCAGGTACGGCTTAGGTCACTTTCTGGTGAAGTTCAGGTCAAGGTCAGGTCAAGGTCAGGCCAAAAAAGGTCAAATTTTAAAGTTGATAGTTTTGCATAAAATGGGTATCAATTCGATGCAGCTCGTCACGGGGAGTCTAATAGTGGTCTTTGTTTTGCGCTACGTGGTCTAGAATTGCTAAAAAAATTGAGTTTGAAAATTTGACGTCGTCAATTTTGAACAGTTTTTTCGCTATAACTTCGCCAAAAATAGAGGTATCAATCTCAAATTTGGTATGTGGATGGAAGGTGGTAAGGACTGTCACATATATTCCGTTTTTTTTTTGCGAAATTCAGAAAACTTTTTGGATTTTTCGATTATTATATCCAAAAAAAATTATTTTTTGATTTTTGGGGTTCCAAATCCTAAAATTTCAAAAATCCGAGATAGTAGTTTTGTAGCCCTGTTGATTCTACAGCTTTTATGTCTTTATCATTTTTCTGTATTTGCAAAGCTATAGGCCTGACAGCTCTTCCCGCGAAACCCTTTTTTGGGTCGAAAACGGCAGAACATGACGTCACTCTGACGTCATTTCCGGCCAACCTATCATAGCCTTTGGAAAAACAAATTTTTGGTCACAATGTGTAAAATTGATGTCCGGGAGGGTACTGAAAGTTTGGTGACGATCGGCGCAGTGGTTCTGGAGATATATCGAAAAGTCTGGAGGGGGGGGGGGGGCAAAAAATAGCCCCCCACCAGGTCGCGGGTTAAGCAATGTTTCAGGGGCCTCACCCAAATATTTGGAATCCAAATTCAAACACGGAACGTTTGCTTATAACAGCTAAAGCAATATGAATCTCTGAATAAACGTTTGGTTACCATTATTGGCAAAGAATAGGACGACGAAATAAACCCTTTGGATTTGTTTATAAATGTACCATTAAACTTGGAGCTCAATGTATGATTTTTGAACGTTACATTTGCCATCCCGTCCCTGATAATAATAAGAAATTTCGGCAACACTTCCTGTGTCATTTAAGGCTTACAAACGCAAAAAAATGCACCGTGACGGGAGGAGAATGTCTCGCTCAACATGTCACTAAACATGTCAATTGATAATCGCTCAAATTGATGATCGCTCAAATTGATAATCGCTGAAAAGACAGTCGCTGAAAATGGTTCGCTCAATAGGCGTTCGCTCAACCGACACTCGCTCTAAGTCGCTCGCACCACTTTGACCTGACCTGTGAGCTGTGACATTATCGGTGACCTCGAGATCAGTAAAATTAGGTTTCGCTCGGCATCAGACGCCCATGTTCAGGGCTATCAGACGCCATTTGAATTTTGACGATCAGTCCGGTAGTTTCGGAAAAAGGGTGGGCTCTGTTCTGCATAGAGCCAACCCCCCCCCCCCCCCCCCAAGTCAGCTGCGCTATGGAAAATACCCCAATCATGCGCGGATTAATTGCCTACGGTATCGGCCCGAATTTGCTGCTAGTAGACATACATTCGGCGAATCCGCTGCCCGTTATAAGCAGCATACATAAAGGTCCGGCCGAATGTCTGACTGACTTGAAGTGACAGCAGCAGGTTTGCGGATATCAATCTGCTTTTAGATTGAGGGACATTGACACCTATCGGTTTCGCCGCATCCAAACTACTGGCTGCTGGAACCTTTAGATATATGGAGCCCAATAAGAGCATCAAGAGCTGTTCTCGTTTCTTTTCTTTCTTTCTTTTGTTAATTAGGTGCTTCGGTCCAATCGGACCATTGCGCACCAAGCTGTTTCGATCAGTTGCTATCTAGTATCCACGCAACCGACGAACATCGATGTCCGAAAGAACTAAGCCCCTGCTTCTAGCGCCACCTACAAAACCACTAGTTCGGAGCCTGACCGTAGACGGCAGCACGAAGCTGCCTAGCACAAGAAGATGTCTGAGTAAACGATTACGTGACCAAAGATCGTAAGACAAAAGATC